GTAAAACTAAAATTCATGCCAATATTTTTCCATGATTTATAATAATTGGAGTAATGCAAATGCATATTTTCTAAAAAAAAGTCAGTTTTTAGTGAAATTTTTCCGGGAATGGGGCTTTAAGAGACGAGTTTCCAGGATCCGACTCTATTAGAATTCTAATAGGGCGCCCCCTATCTGGTGGCAATACTTTTTAACGTTCCATTGCATGCATACAATATACTGTTACTCTTTGCTATATATATAATGTAATTTCACTGTTCCCTGATACCAGGGAAAACACCTAACACTCAGCCCATCCGTTGGTTAAAGCTTTGTGCTCTCCCAGCCGGGCATTCATTTTTCCCGGCGGTCGTCGGCTGACGCGATTCTACAAAAAAATGCAAAGCCACGACGCACACGCAACAGACTTGTTTCTAATGACGATCCGTTCAGACTGCCACTACTTGCTGCCACTGACAATCAGCGGATGGCGTCACGTCGTCTAGCGCTCACAGGGAGGGCCGGAGAGTTGAGTTCGTAGGCTGACGTCGTACCAGGGGCGGATCCAGAGATGTCCGAAAGGAAGGGGGAGCCAAAAGGGGGGCCGAAAGAGGGGACCGACCTAGACATTCCGCCCGGGGGTCCGGGGAATACCCCCGCGAATATCTTGTTGTCTAGGCGGTGGAAAATAACCCCTGATGTGTTTTTGGCGATCAAGTATTTCTTTTTCTTTTTTTTTTCCTGGCCTCACTCTAACACCGCCCTGCGTAAGAAGCAGTAAGCAGGGAACATATAATGTTCCCTGGCAGTAAGTGATGCCCGGCTTAATATTATAATCGTTTTACTTGTGTCCAAAGGAAAGAGAAATCCACTGGGAAATCCAAAGGATCGTTTGCCAGACGACTTCTAAATTTACGAAGTTGTATTATGGGTCGAGTAATCAAAGATGAAGTAACAAGAAGCTCTGAGTACGATTATCTACTTTACTCAGACGATGATACTGATGTCAGAGATGATAAGGTAAAATGCAGGCATCATGATGCAGGGGTGACGAGACATTCAACCCAAGTTGTCAGCGAGAGTAGTACTAACAGGGGTAAAGATTTCACTCAAGATCGTGGATCACCCCAACGATGTTCGAGATTGAAAGGTGCTGCACAGGGAACCAGATATTCCAAAAGATCCACGAAGAAGAAGCAACCGGCGGATGAATATCGAAAATCAACTCTTACAACAGACTACTGCATGATGTCTTTCATTGTTTCAGCATCCAGTATTGGAAAAAGGCCAGATGCAGACATTGGAATTTACTCAGAACTACCAAGTGTCCGGGCTCACTGGAAAGCAATAATGGATTTAAAGTTTCAAGACATCGATGCCTTACTCCCGTTTAGTCTGCCTACGATTCCGAAGGAACAAATAAGTAGTATATTTGCCGATGGAAAGGAGATTGTTCTCGGGACAGGATCATCCGGATCTGTCGCACTGATGACGTATTCTACATTGAAAGGCATTAAGAAAGTCGCCGTGAAAACAGTCGATGTAAAGAGTACGGAGAATAAGCCAATGGCATGCCATCAACAAGAATACTACCTTAAACGGGCTGGAATTGAAGCCAGAGCGTTAAACAAACTCTCAATAGCATGCGACGTCTTCCCGAATGTTTACGGAATTATGACCAGGGGGATTAACGATTTTGCTATCGTCATGGAGTATATCGGACGGGGGACGTTGTTGCACTTCTTGGAGTATGAACGTCGAAGTGGTTACTGTAATAAACTTCAATGGTTAAACATCAGCAGAGACATAGCAACAGGCATCAAACACATGCACGATATTGATTTACTCCACAATGATATTGCTTTGCGCAATGTGATGTTCACATCAAATGGGGGACGCATTTGCGCTAAAATCATTGACCTGGGAAATGTTTCAATTGCGTCATCTGGACAGGCGCGCAACTACAAAAAACGCTTTGCAAACGAAGAACTGGGTGCAGTATTTTCGAAAAAGTGGCCAGAAATTGCTCCTGAGTTCTTTGTTGGTGCTGGAATTGAAACCAAGGCGACTGATATATATGCACTTGGAGTTCTATTTACACAAGTTGGGAGCGAGAACAAAATGAGTGACCTTATAAATCTCGGTTCTGTAATGACTCAACGAGAACCCAACGTAAGACCAGATGCAGCAGACGTATTGCATAAAATTGTGAAGCGCATTAACACGAAGCCTGCACCTCAAAATCAATGATGGAAACATTCACACTGTCGTATATCAACAGCAGAGAAAACTGCCCAACATGTTGCCAAGTTGGCAAAGATTACCATGCCTAGAGGGCGCTATATAATTTTGTTGGTTGGTATGGTCTAGTCAAGCACAAGAAATAAATGTTGCTACAGCATGTACGAGTAGTGTATCTGACAATCGAATCTTAATTAAATTTTCAAAACAAACACAAATCCATCAATCACTTCGAAAACTACCTATAGTCTTGGGATGAATTTATTCAGAACATGTAATGTAAAATGACATAAAATCATTCATGTTTACATTATTGTGAGACTTAACATTTTTTTAATTGAAAAAAACAGACTATAAAAAACATTGGTAATGAGATAAGCAATATTTATGAAATAAAAAAAGGTAAGCAACATTAAATAATGGGGCATATTTTCACATACAAAATAATATCAATATCATAATGACTAGTTTAATTATATTGGTTATAAGAAAATATGATGCATAGTCATTTTCAGTAAACCCTTGACATACGATAAACATGTATCTACAAAATATACAACTAATAAAGAATATATAGATAGGCCTATACAGATATTGGAGAATTGAAGAAAATGGACCTTAAATTGGATTGTATAATATAGAAATAATGATTTTGATAATGAATATGAAAATGATGGTGGTGATGATGACAATTATGATAATAATGGTACTGTAATGATGATAATGACAAAGATGGTGGTGATGACAATGATAATAATGTTCATGAAGATGATGATGATGATGGTGTTGATAACTGAAAATGAAATGATGGCTATAAGGATTTTACTGATGACAGTGAATAAGATGACTATAATTATATATTCATAAGAATATTTATTATCCACCAATTTCATAAGTGTGATAGAGTGATGAAGAGCACGTAATGGCATCATAAGATACGGTAATACTGATATTGAGAACATAAATGCATGCCGATTAAAATAATTTTAAGAACTTCATGATTTTATAATACATTGGATTACAAAAACAAATATTATGTGGTAAATTATACATTGAAATAAACATAATTTTACTGGCAAACATTTAAATACACACATTTACTTTAGTTTTATAACTGAAATATAAGCTTTTATCAACAAATTAGAACCATTTTATTATTACACACAAACCATATTTAATTAATTCTAATAATAAAGAGATACATAGAATAGAAATATTGTATAAAGCTTTTCATTTAAACTTAAAATTTCTCAATGACACTAGAGAGTCTTTAAGAAAAATAAAGAAAGTATTAGTTATGAATAGAATTCAAACAAATACCAACTTTGAAATCACATTTAGCAACAAATCATACAGAATACAACACACATCTATAGAAGAGTTATTAACATATCTAAAAGTGCATAATAAAGATATACTATACACATATTAGATTTATGTATATTTTTTAATAATACCTGTATTAAAATTATTTTGCTACATTTATGCTGTACTATGCTGAATACTTTTATAAAAAATTAGGAACATTTCAAGTAAAAAATATAATAAACAATATCTATTGGATGGAGGACAGTGCCTTTGGTGGATATACTGAAGTTAAATTACATGTGCATAACTAATATAAAATATTACAACGATTACTGTACACTTTAAAACTACACCATCTTCAATAAAATAGTACATGTTACCTTTATACAAAAAATATTGAATGTTTAAAAATAACAAGGTTATTGATATCATGTGTGATGTATGTAACCTTCTTGTGGTCTCGTCACTCCATGACACAACAATAAATATACAAGAGTGAAATAAAGATTGACTGATTGATTGATTGATTGATTGAGATAGAACACCATCATGGATTATATATAACAAGGAAAATATCACAATATAGTATAACTTATGAGCCTCCCTAAATTAGATTTCCTATAAAATGCACCACAGAGTTAAATGATAAGATTTTTTAAGTCAGGAGAACCATTACACTAAGTATCTTTTATAACAGGGTAGAAAGAAAAGACGAACCATACACCAACAAAACACATACTTTAATTATGCATGTCTCTTCATAGCCAAAAATAAGAAATATTGTTAATAAAATAGTACCTATGTTAAACTTGAACACAATTTTACTATGTGAATTCTCGTAGATGCATCTGTCATAAACATTCCTATTAGAGCCAAATCAAGGTGCTTTTTCTACACTGCCTTTTTCTTAAAGATCAGTCACAACTTAAAGCCAAAACATGTACCATGAATTAAAATTATATTGCAGGACGTGGATTGTTAAATGTCAATGATGACGATCGCATTATTAGCTCTCAAATGCGAGTCCTTTTGCACAGCAGACATTAACAACATTAGGAAATCATAATATTACATGATTTCAAAATTATAATATTTAATAATATTAGTAATTATACTAATAATAATACTGTGATAATAATATAATAGTCATTATCATAATAATAAAGATAATACTAATAATAATTTTGTAACAGCAATAATATTCGTATTAATAACAACAAAAATAATAATCATAATAATAGTCAAAAAGATAATAATGGTAACATTTTATTTTTTTTACATATGATCCAATATAAACACTTATGATATGACATTATTAACAGTCCCTAAAATATTTCAACAAGTATAAATTCTTTTTTTATACTTTTATAAATTTTTTTGTTATTTTACAATATCTGTATTATACAGTTGTACAATTGCACATTTTTAGTTTTCCTTTGCCCACATTTATGAATCCATAGTACAGTGTAAGTCTAGCATTATGAATACAGGCACATACCTACATTAAGACTTGTTTTATAGCCTTACATGAATTCATTGAATATATAACCATTATGTAGGTACCAAGGGACTCAATGCTTAGTAATGTTAGAGGTTTGTACATTTAAGCTGGTTTATGTGACAAACACCTGTGTTTTGCCCATATATGGATGTGATATGACATCATCATGCCTATATATATATGAGTAAATCACAAATAAACTTAATAGAGTGAAAAGAGTATGTCATTGCAATGTAGATGGCAACAAACTGACAGGGACTTTAAAATACATGAAAAAAAATTGACAAAAAGTTTATAAACATAACAAAACATACATATTAATAATGTCAGTTGGAGGAAACAAGTTAAACTATAAAATGTAATATAATATTAATATATATTATTTATTATTATATATAAGTATAGTATATAAATATGTATATTGGTTTTTAGAATGTTTGCTTTTATGTATGTATACATACATGTACAGTAAATACACACTGTACATACATTACATTATTAAATTATATATTAAATATATATCACTATGCATTTTTAGACCCAGTCAAGTGTATCTAAAAACCAACACATACACTTCTGTGAATTTGGCTGTGAGACAATGGCTCAGCAATTAATACGATATATTAAGGTAGAAACTGGCAGTCACTGGCTGTTCCATTCTAAAAATATCATTAATCACTGGCCGTGAATTTAAGTTCTTGTTTAAGACAACCATGTCTGGCTCATAAGCAATTTCAGCATTTTTCTCACTGCTTCTTCAACATTATTATCATTCTCTATGTTTTAGTAATAAAAAAAAATAAAATATTTGGGAAGTCTGACAAGTTATAATATTAAATAATACCATGTAAATTATCATTGAATAGTACAGCACTGAAATGAAATTAGAATATCACTTTATATAATATAGTTTTTTATATAAATATTTTCCTTAGTATGGAACTATAAATCATCAGTAAATAAACAAGAAAAGATGTTTCTGACACGGCTTGTTAAAAAGAGAAGGAAACAGTGGCACTGTATATATTTAAGGTGGCATGGGCGCATGCCTCTTTTAAAAAGTTTCCACTCCTAAGCACATGGACTGAAACTTAAATTACAAACAATTGTGTTTGAAAAGCATTTTAATATAATCTCATTCCCCCACCTAGCATTCCATTCCTACTTCCTCATCTTAGCCCCTCACAAAGATGCCCCATATACACATACACTGACATATACCAAGCTCAGGGACGGGGATATTCTTATGAGGATATTTGAAGTTCAAGATGATTTCCAAAGGGTTGTGGAAGTTTAAAAAGGGGAGGTCCAAAAAATGGGGATGAAGACTGTAATTTTTTTTTCTTCTAAATTTGGTTTGAAAATGCTTTGACAATTGATGTAAAGATTGAATACCGATAATAAACTTCCCTCTACAGCGGCAAATTTCAGTTTCTATATTTAGGAAATGCTCACCAATAATGTTTAGTTCAGATATTATATGAGAAAGTAGAAAGAGAAAGTGCATTCTGTTTTAATTAGTGTAATTAACAATCCAAACACAGGATATTTTGCCACATCCCAGCTGATGAAGTGGCCAACATGTTCACATCTCTTTAAAACCACATCCTCTTGTAGCTGAAGACAGCATTTAAACACAAGTTAAAATCCTGTCTAAAAATTAACTTTAAAAATGAATGTAGAAAATATAGATTTCAGAAGTTAACAATATAATTATAATAATAGTATTAATAAATTTAAGTTCTACTGTAGTATCCAGATAAAGTTTAACAACCAGAAACAGTTACATTTACATGAGCCATATTTGGGTGAGCGTCAATCTCTAGATGTTGCCTTGTATATTTTGAACCCCACACAAATAGACCATCTACCGATTTAGAATGTTTAGTATGAAAATTTTCTCAAATCACTGGTAATTTAAAAAAATTTACTTTCATTAATATATCAGGCACATTTTTAAAAAAGCTTACAAATCTTTGTGGTACCTCATTAGATACACTGCGATTGATAAATGAAATTATTTAAAATTGTTAAATCATAAAACGCTAAATAATGTTTCATTCCCTACTGTAATTAGTACTTTTTAAAAATCACAATCGATACAATACAAATTTATTTCCATCATTAGATTTCCAACAATCCATCAATTTAAAGATGTACCACCTGTTATAAAATCTGAAAACTTCCAAAAGGATAAAAAAAAAATCAACTTCCAATGAATCCAAAATCAAAACAAATCAGTTTTTGTTAATTTACAGATCTTTTAATACAATATTTCATAAATCAACCAATTTAAGAATCTACTGTATAAAAATCAAATCAAACTTCCATATTTGATTATATTGCGCTGTGAGACCCTGGATTACTTCTTTTTTGATATTTCATTACTGTATTTTATTAATGTGACTATTAAATGGGAAGAAATATTTTTCCACACTCTAATTTACAATAGAAACCTACTTTATAATAGCAACAACAATGATTTCTCCCCTTGTTTTTAGATTAGCACAGACGACATATCTTTAATTAGCAACGCACAAGGAACAGATGTAAACATTTTCATCTGTATGTTCTTTTTATGTCACATGATTTACTGTTTAATTCTTTCACTTTCACTAAAATTGCACTTTCATTTTTTACTAATAACTATAAATTTTGTTTTCCAAAATGCGGATTTTTCAATGTTATAAATTTTACAAATATTGGATAACATTTAAACATGGGATTTAAATTGTTAATCACTTTTTAAAAAATTTGAAATTTCACTGCAATATAAACATGTACAGTACAAGAAACAGCCACGATTTTGTCATTAACTTCTGCAGTTTAATGTGCATTTTATACCAAGTTGACAATAAGGCTACCGCAGAGCTGCTCTCCAAAACTTCTTGTATTTGAAATCAGCAGTGTGGGTACAAAATGAATTGCGTTGCATCTGCTGATTTATGTTGATCTTGTTATAAGTACTGTATGTATTACAGTATGTTTTCATGATTAGTAAACGCACAACAGAAACCCATGCGTTGTATCAAATTTGGTAGTACATTATCTACTTTATACAATACACTACATTTTAAAGGTATGTTACACTATATGTGTGATAAACACTGTAAAACTAAGTCTTCAAGTGTGGGCATTTTAACCGGCCCAATTTCAACGTCTATATATTTCGCTAACGTATCCTCAAGATGCCGTTTTTCAACACCTCTTCGCCACCTCATGCCAATAACAGTCTGTAGTAAAGAGATCAAAAATGGGTTCGTTCCGTCTTCACCTATGCACTGAAGGGCACACTCTGCGAATGCAGATGCGTGTGAATCCCCATCTTCCAGGGAGGAGTAGGCAACAACGAGTGCGCATAAGGTTCTGATTGTGTCCTGGTGTTTTTCACCGAGCATTTTTTCTTGCAGATGTAATGCATTTTGTAAAAAAGGTATGGCTTCTTGGAAATCGCCTGCACTGATGTACTTGAAAGCGGTTTTAAGATCTCTATTGTAGAAGAAGTCTTGGAACTCGGGACAATTCCTGATCTCTTCAAATGTGTAGATGTGTGTGAGGAACTGTTCAAATGCCCGACTTCGCTCTGCGATAAAGTGATGCCGGTAGTTGCCTGTGATGGCTTTCTTGGGAAAGGAGACGTGTTCCATAATGTGGGGGTACTTGCGTTTTAACACTTTGTTCAGGAGGTAAAATTCTGTGTATCTTCTGTCAATCAAAGCCTGTGATGTGTCATTTCCAATTGAGCGTTTGACTGCTATTGTATACAACTGAAAAAAAAAACACCAATATGAAAATAATGAGTATTAATAGAGGATTTTAATCTTCTTGTTAAAATGTTTTATTCTTCCTTATACATACAACTGTTAGTTGACTCACAGTATGTTGGTAGTCTATAAAAACCAAAGTTTAGGGAAGGAAGTATATTATTAATTACTTTAGTCCTTGCATCTGCAGGAATCCAGATTAATCCAGAAAGAGTCTTCCTATCAATCAATCTATTTTGCTTTGACTGCTTATTGTTTTTGTTTAGGTCAAAATTTAAGTCTACTATCCAGAATATATTCACGGCTAAAGTACTAATTTGTGTCCTCTGGGAAAACAGTATTTTTATTAATACCTAAGTATACAGAACAAATAAATTAAATAAATAGAATACTCTAATACTATAATTATCAATCCCCTCCCCCAATAAATTCTAGAGGGCGTATTAAGTCATAGACCTTGTGACAATAAAAAGGTTATTATAATGTGATGAAGGCTAGACAAGGTTGCAGCCGAAACGTAATAAGTTAACCTAAAACGTTGGCTTATCTCCAAAAATCATTCAAGCCAAAAAAATGTAATCACAACACACAAGAACAAATGATATAATGTTGTCAAAATTAGAAAGGATATAGAAATTGTATCAAAGGTTAACAAATTTTAAAATGTGAATTGCAAAATTTGTTTCCTTGTCGCATAATGTCAGAATTTGCTTCGGAAGCTAAGTACCGAAAGTCCTTCAGATTAATTAAAAATTCACTAGCCTAGTTCTTCCTCCGTCTTCATTTCTTTCTAGAAGTTCGTTAAAACATTCTTTCTGATTGGTCACTTTAAATTGAACAGGAAGCTTATAGATCACGAAATATACAATCAAATATTAAAATAAAGTCTTAAATGTGAGTGGAAAATACAGTTATTTGGAATTAAAGGCTAACTTTAAAAAGGATACAATCTCTTCATTCGCAGTTTATGTCTATCAAGAAGCGAATGGCTTCCTTAATATTAATTGACGCTATCTAGAGAATAGGAAACATCAGCTTTGCCACTCAAGGCGCTAGTTTATTATCATATTTTTATCTTCCGTCGTTGATGTGGTTTAACAAACAGATAGTTCTAATTTTGGTCCATTGACATCATCAACATCCTCCTTAATTACCACACGTTAGCAAACAGTTTAATCAAAGGTAAATATATAGAAGATCTAAAATCATTGAATTTTGTAGAATACACTACGTAACTCTATGTATGCTCTTTATCATTTTCTAATCCTACTGTGGCAGAAAAAAAAATCATTATTTCAAAAAAGGGGTTTTTTAAGTTTGAAACTTTTGATTTTTCTTTAAAATTTGTATTGGTTGTAAAATATGATAAAAACTTCAATATTAAAATTTAAATATTTCTGATCTAGAAAAGACTATAAGTAAGTTTATTAACTTACTTAATATGGCCAGAATACTTATAGAATTGAGACTACAGTGCTGTCCTGTCCCAGAGTTTTTATTTGAAAGCAAGAGAAAAGGTATAAAAATATATATAAAAAGCTATGTAAATATATATAAAAAGATATATAAATATATATAAAAGCTATATATATATATGTATATATATATTTAAAGCTTTATAAATATACATAAAAAGCTATATAAATTCTAATTGTCATAATACTAAAGAAACTTTGTAAGTATTTTCAGAACTACTTGAGAGTGATACAGTAAAGGTATAAGCATGCCCCCAGTGGCATTGAGGTAGGTTCATGGCCTCTCTCGGTATACAGATAAATTAAAACTATGCTCTCAGCACAGACTAGCCTTATCTGAATTACCTATTTTTATCCAAAACCTACTCAGAGTTTGGTTTGATGATGCCTAGCTGATGACCAGCAACAGTCGTGTCACAGTCTGCGAAAACAGCAATTAACAGACAGACAGACAATCCAATACGTGCGTCGTAATTGAGAGAAAAGCATACTATGAATGATTTGCAGAAATGAAACTTAAATTGTGTTAATGTGCAAAAAGTCAATTCCTATTCTTAATATTTATCATGCATATTTAATTTTTATACGATTTTTGTCATATTTAGCTTCCGTCATTGATATGCAGATAGAGATAGTTCTAATTTTGGTCCACTGACATCACCAACATCCTCATTAATACAGTACCATACGTTAGCAAACAGTTCAATTAAAGTTAAACATTAAGTACTGAAATTTTGTAGAAATGTAACGTTATATAAATGTTACACTCTTTATTATTTTCTAATCTTACTGTGACAGAAAAAAAAATCATTAATATTAATAATATTATCCATCCATTATTCAAATTAATTTTTTTTCTTCTTTAATATTAACTTTATTAAAAAAGAAATATTTAAAATATTGAAAATTATTATTCAAATTTATTTGTAACACACACAATACCACATATTGTGTCTTAAAAATCACAAAATAAATACTTTTAGTAATATAAAAACCACACTACTTAAACTGCTTGTATTAACTTAAAATAGTTGAGACTTTATCACATGATTGCTTCTGAAATATTGGCACACAAAACCATATGTTTATTGATTAAGATCACTTCAATAGGGGCAGAGGGCGGTCCTGTTGATACTCGGAAGGGGTGCATTATATTGAAAGAAACCAGAAACTGCAAGTCAGCGACAGAGGTGCAAAGTAGTGAGAAGTGATAGGAAAAGGGTTCACACAGTCACCCTACTGGTAAATATCAGATTGCCCCTTCGCATGTCGCTGTGCTCTTCCTAGGTACCTTTTGTAATAGACTCTTGACCTGGTTAACAACTGGGTTGCCTTCCTAACCGTGTTACGCTAATCCAGTCAGGAAACAAGCTTAGTAGATGATAACTATCCCCAATCGCTACTGTTTTTTTTTTGTTTTTTTTTTTCGCTGGCGGTTTAACGTATTAGCATGCTAGTGAGCCAATTATGACTTAGACTGTTCTACTGTACAACTTGAGTGGGAATGGTAGGATTAATAAACAGAAACCATACAGACTTTTTGTATAAATTGTAAATCTGCTAAATCTTTCTTCAAGTACTACTAATTTATCAATCTTAAAGATAAAATTTCTGAAAAAAATCTGGAAAAACAATAAATTGCTAATTTGATGTATCTTCTATGTTGATGATCACTACCATTAATAACAACTTGATCTGGTGCTCTACAAGTTGGTAAGAGGATTAGAACATTCTCTCTTAAAGAGAACAGTTGGGAGGAGAGGTTATGGGAAGATAAACGGAAAATTATTTATTTACAATTAACACGTCATCGCGGACTTCTAAAATCCGCATACGCCTTAAAACTAAAAGAAAATGCATACTTTTGGAGTCCGTACTGAGTCCGTAAATCCGCAATGAAAATATAACGTGTTAATTGGTCAGGAATAGAAAATGTTGTTTAATGTATTAGGTAGTTCTTAAAATGATTATGTGCAATATTATTTCACTACTAAAGCATTTTCCCCCTCCCAAAAAAGCAATAAAGAAATCTGCTTTTTGAATCTTAGGCCATTAATTGCTTCAACAGGCTACAGCAAAATATCGGCAATTATTGTAAATATTTAGTGCCCTTATGGCCAGCCTACTTAAGTATACTTAGTGCAGAGGACCTGAATACTAGTTATTACACTTTGTAATGACTAAAACACACTTAAAAAAGAAAAAATTACGAAACTTTTTAAAATATGGATTTCCAATTTGTATTTTATATCTAATATTTTAAATTTATTATTCTATTTTTAAAAATTATTATTACATTATTAAATCAACGAGGTTGTGTATGCTCACCACAAAACGTTTGTGCCCATCTCGCATTGTTTTTGCCGATGCCACCTCAAAACTTGTTCGTCCTTGTTGGAACTTGGCGATCTTCCCAAGATCATATTCCTTCTTACGGTGACAGCTTCGTATGCCTCCCATGCAGTCAACTTCTGCAAAAAACAATCCACAGAAATAATATTCGAAGTTTAGAGCAAGATTTGATCCGCGAAAACCTATTTCTTGAAGGTCGAGAAAGTGCATAATATACTGAGGTATCTCGGATATGATTACAAGTTATAAAGAAAAGTTTGACCTTTGACACATCACTTCCTGTGATATGTAACTTTATTTTGATGAGGTACTCAACAGCAATGTGTCATATTGTCAGGCATGTTGTGGTTTTTAATATACTTTGCAAAAATAATGAGTCAAAGAATATTTTTGTCGTAGGTTTAGATCTCTTGTATAACGTGCGGGCACGAAACACGTCCAGGACACCTGTTAATTGTGAACCGCGCTCTTTCTCCGTTAATGAGCTTGCTATGTCTATGTGTCAAGCTGGACTGTCAACTGTATGTGAGCGCTACTCGCTTGCCCTCTGCTGACCCAGTTTGATTTCTCAGGAGGGAAGTTCGGGTCAGGGATTAGAGCAGGGGGAATCCTCTGGAGAGTTCTCACTACCCTACAACAAGACCAGTTGCTTCGTGAGGGGTTTCCACGCATTAAATTTGACAGTTCTACATGGGTACATGACAGGAGTCATCAAAACCCCATCTCTGGCTAGTATCAATATAATGATCTCTAATCATTCCAAAATAAGATGGAGCGGGAGATCCGAAGACGCTGGCAAATATCACAATAACATAGAGCAGTATTAAGGCATGTACTTTATTATCTTTTTTTTCATATATCTCCTACATCTAAGTTTATGTCTATTCAATTATATATACTTTGATAAAACTGGTGGCAGAAACAGGCTACAATGATTATATTTATTACTCATATATGTGAATGAATCGTGGGTATGTTTCTTTGAGATTCTCCGTCTTGTAATTTATCTTTCAACAAGTAGACATTTATCAAGTTTGATTATAATCAAATGCTGCACCAAGGAAAATAAAATGGTTTGTTATTTCATGCCATTTATTTAAGATAAATGATTCCAAATCTTATTAAATTGAATTGCTGAAGTGGTATCAAATAGTATTGAAATAACCACATTCAGTATTCATTATCTTATTGTCAAAAACACATATTTTTATATAGAAATATAATTGCAAGGATCCGCTCATAGATAAATAACAGAAATAATCACTAGGTGAAAATGTAACAAAATCAGGTAATAAACTACAGTATCCCACCGGACACCATCCATTTATTTCTGAAGAAAGGTTTTGGGGCTTGAAAAATGAGATTGTGATTATAATTACTTAAAAGTACTATACAAGGTAATAACCCTCGTCGGACACCATCCCAGTATTTCTGATTCATGATTTCAGGGCTATCATGAATTGAATATTAGGCTTAACTGTACTAACTAACTACTATAAAATACTATGGTACAAAACTACCCCTGCCGGACACCAACCCGGTATTCAAGCGTAGCAAAAAATCTGTAAGTATTGCAAAAAACGATTTTGTGAAGGAGAGTCGGTAACTATAAAGCCGGGTACTCACTGCGCCCGTTGGCCGTCAGCCGATGCGATTCTATGAAGTACGCAATGTCACGCGTGCAACGGATCTTTTTTAATGACGACCCATTCAGACAGCTACCAACAATCAGCAGACAGGCAGCAGATTTGGATTCATCGTACGACCGTCGCATGATGCAGTGTGTGCCCAGTTTTAATGTGAATGTCGTTCACACATTAAAGCTGGAAGTTCTTTTAATTTTTTGAGGGGTTTATTCTTGATCTTTCAGGTCGAAATATATTAAAAACAGTATTCAATATATTAGGCTTAAATATTTCAGAGAAAAAAAATCAAGTTACAACTGTACATTTAAATTTTTGTATTTTTTAAAATTATGTTTACATGTACCATATGTAAATTTTATGCAATTTCTATTCTAATTCCTTAATAATAATCATTTTATCATGTTATGTAACATCACAGTAAAACTGTATCTTCTAAAAAAGCCAAGCATGTACTGAAACTCAGAGAATACAGTTTGATTTGACAGGGTTAACGACTGCACGCCCAAATACCTGGTGACTATAGGGTGTAAATCCCCTGGTGGCTGTAATTATTTGCATGCATGCGTGCACTCACCTCATTACACATCAATCGTGATGTGTAAAAAAATCACGAGACATACGCCTTAATTTACCACTAAATAGGACACACAATGAATAATTTACGACAAAGAATTTTAATCACCATATAGCAGGTGTTAACAACTTCTTAATAGTAGCAGACATGATTCTGAATTGATCTTAAAATTCTATTGTTTATTTGAACGAGATACAGGTGTGCTAATTGAACTTTGAACTTTTACCTCCGCTCAACCAGAAAAACAAATTGGAAGTCAGAAACTTGAGATCCCAGAAAAATAAAATATATCAAAAAATTTATATGAAAAAGAAGTATTTTTTGTTCTAATTTTTAGTCCAGAGGTAATAACTATAATTTACTCACATGCAATTCAACTGATTTTCCCAAAATTTACTTGTGATTGTATTTAACCAAAATAATAAAGCAACGCACATAAGTTTCAAAAGAATCTGTAAATAATCTATCAAGAACATAAATTTAGTTATTTAGCAAAGAATCTCTACTTGTGCTAACATTGCTAACTGCATCATTTATAATCACAATTTAATAGTTTTTATTAATTGAATAATAAATAATATTACTTTAGACATAAATTTCATATGTGTATACAATAATTTAAATTTCATTAATCTCTTTTTATAATATTATTATTATTATTATTATTATTATTATTATTATTATTATTAATAATCAGGTGTGATCTAACTGAGTCTATAAGAGTAAATATGAGGCTTTTAGAGTGGAATTAATTAAATTGTAAGTCTCAATGTGGGCTTAATTTGGAACATTAGACAGAATCAAAGTGATACCATATGACCTGTCCTAAGTAATAATTTTCCATCCTCCGGAAACAATTTAGAGAGTATTTAAATTAAATAAGGGAGAATTTTGTTAATTTTTAATATCCTATCATGGAATGTTAAAGGTTGATACACATGTAGGGGTCAATAGATAAGCAGGCACAGCTAAATAGGGCAGACCAAGGAATTGCAAATTGTACCGTAGAACAGGGACTTCCCCCTCAGTCTCAGGTCTTATAGCACTCTGGTTGGTACACTACCTTCTTCCTTAATTGGGTCAGTTGCATTTCTGTATACTCACAAAGTTATATTTGCACATACTTTTAAGATTTTAAATATTTTAGTGTACATTTACCAAATCACTTTCTGTGAAACATAAAAATGATAATGATAATATTAACAATAATGTTAACAGCAATAACAATAAAATTAGTAATAATACTATGCTGACATAAATGATCAAATAAATGTGCTTCTCTCAAATAAGCACTGTCCTACACAAATTATGGGAGCAGAAATTTATTTTGTTTAACTTCGCTGTGCTTTAGCGAAAATAAGCTGACATACCCAAAGAGGTGTACCTAGTGATATTAACATGAGAGAGGGGCTGATGGAAAGAAGATGTTTTGACTAGAAATTGTATGTCAGGGTGCTACCGGAGATAACATTGGTAATATATTTATTAAATGTACTTTTTTATGTTGAGCAAATTTCCAGAAGGGGATTCTTTGGGGAAGAAGAAAAAGCTGTTTTCTACTGCGCTTGCTTCCCCCACTCTCTGCAGCTCTCCCCCTTAGTGTATACACCGCCAATCAGCAGCCATAGTTTTATTACCTAAGAAAAGCTGCTTTGTACTAACAAGTCAAGTGGCCGAGTGGTAAGGCAGGGTGCCACTAACTACAGGCTTAACATCGGCGCTGGTTCCAACCGCTCTCTGCCCAGGGTTCGGTTGGTATCACCAAGTCTTCTCGGATAAGGACTTAAAATAAAGGTCCAATGTACACATCTGGCTTGCGTGCCCTTTAAAGAATCCACTGCAGCTTCCGGAAGCGTAGGGGGTTACCCCGATGCTATGGTTCATTGCTGTTTTCTAGGTGTGCTTAATTCGCATTAAATTTTAATTCGCAGTTGATCAGCAGCCATAGTTTAATTACCTAGTACAAGACAAGCTGCTTTGTACTAACAGAATAGCATGGTCAATGGCTAATAAATTGGCCTATAATCAAATTGCAACAAAAAAAACTGTATATACAATTAAATCTTAATTATGGTAACAAAGTTGGTTAACCACTAGACGATGAGAATGCTAACTTGCCGTGATTCTAACGGAAAGCGCAATTGATTTGCTCAAAGTTTTTCCAATTGTTTTGATTCAACAGGAAGGCAGAAACTGTTTTCATTTGTCACCTTTTAAAAATTCAATCAAATTGGTTTCCTGTCACACCTCACAAAAGATTGCCTTCAATAAAATCTTAATGCATCGCTAAATAGCTCTAGTAAATGCAGTTATTTTGCTAGAAACCAAACCCAGCTGAAGAATAATACAAATTAATAGAAATTATCAAATTATGATTTGTTATTAAGTTGGTATATTAGTGGTTTCGAAATGTTTATTCTATTGCAATTTGATTCAAATTTAATGTTGTTTGGCGACAAAAGATGTTATCGATTCAAACACACATAATAATGCAATCTGATATTAAAAATCTCTCTTGAGAAAGGCTAAGGCCATTAAAGATGACGGATTTTGTCCCGCCTCCAGTATTTTCATGCCGATAAGCAGTGGTCTGTGATATTGGTCATTAACTATGTGCAAATACGGCAATGATTTAACATATTTATCAATTCAAACAAACATAACCATGTAAATCTGATATTAAAAATTATCATCTCTCTTGAGAAAGGCTAAGGCCATTAAAGATGATGGATTTTATCCCGCCTCCAGTATTTCATGCCGATAAGCAGTGGTCTGTGATATCGGTCATTAACAATGTGCAAATTCGGCAAGAATTTAACATATTTATCGATTCAAACAAACATAACAATGTAATCTGATATTAAAAATTATCATCTCTCTTGAGAAAGGCTAAGGCCAT